GCCGCGGGCAGGTGTCCGGCCCTGTGCCATCTGCGCCCACCCTCCCGCCCTGGCGGACGTGTCCTGGGGGGCGCAGCACCAGGGCGAGTCCCGAGTCCAGGAACCACCCCGAGGAGCGAGCGCGAGGACCAGACGTGGCCGGCCGTACCTGGTGGCCTGGGGGTTGCTGCTGGCCACAAGCCCGACCACGGTCCCCGCGCCGGCCGCGTCCCGGCACACGTCGATGCCCACCACCATCAGGGAGCGCAGCTGCAAGGTGGCACGGCTCAGCGGGGGGCGGCACCCCAACAGCTCCGACTGTAGGGCGGGGGACGCCCCTCCTCACCGCCAGGGCGCCCCAGACCGCCGGGGGTCCGGCCAGAGGCCGCGGGGAGTCAGACAGGGGAGACCCGGGGACCCAGGCTCGGGCCGTGGCGCGACCCCGTCGTGGGCGGCGGGCACCGGGCGCCCCCTGCCCCTTGCCTCCAGGCTGGGAGTTTCCGGGTGAAGCCCTGACCAGCCTGGGTCCGCTGGGACCACGAGCGCGCCCCTCTGGGGGCCCTGGGGGCACGGCACGTCCAGGTATGGAGGTGAGGACACAGCCAGACCCCCCACCCCCGTTCTATGCCTGGTGCAGGTCTGGGGTTCGGCTCGCTGTTCACTGAGGATGCTGGTCCCGGGCCAGGCGCCCCCAGTCTGCACCCCCACGGGGCGGCAGGAGAGGCAAGGGGCAGCTTCCCGGTGACTAGGGGCTGCTCGTCCACAGGGGTCAGCCCTCGTGGACGCCACAGCGACCGTGGGGTGCGGGCCCAGGGCCGACGGACCAGCCGCTGACGCCCTGGGCCCTCCGGGGTGCGCGAAGGCCCCTGCCGGCCTCGCGGGGGACAGTGCTCACGGGGATCTCCACAGCCCACAGCTCGCCGCCCAGCTTGCAGGTCATCTGCATGGCGACCTTGGCGGCCACGCTGGCCATGATGCCCTGGCGGCCGAGCGTCCGCGCGAGCACGCACTGGCTGGGCACCGGGGCGTCGGTGCTCAGGAACTTCTTGATGGCCTCGTAGTAGTGGCCCCGGCTGGACGGCAGCACGCACAGCACCTGGGGACAGCGCTCGGCTCGGGCAGCTTCTGGGCACGGACGCGCGGCCGGCCGCTGCCCAGCCG